GGTTTAGAAAGGGCTTGAGGCAGCTAAGACTGCTGTAGTCACCTTGGACCTAATTCAAAAGAGAAATGCCATCTATATCATCCTCTACTCCCATACTTGGATGTGTAACAGCTATGGAGATTGCTGTAAGCCATTAATAGTTATTTTTTATATATTAAGAAGGTGGGACCTGTGGGAACCCGTTCTCGAGTTCCTCTTGGCTTTACCCAGCAGGTCCGAATAGAGGATGTTCAGGACCATGGGCCTGAGTGCAGGTGTCTGAGATGGTCTGCACTTGGCTGTGCTGGGGAGGAGGTCTTTTGCTCCACCCCTTGGCGTCTCTATAAAAACCCTGGCTCAGAGACAGTCAGGGCCTGTTGGAATAGGTTCCAGGCCCTCTCGAGGCTATCCTTTATTTTCTATCTGTTTATCTCCACAATATTCTCCACAATAAATCCTTCTATCTAATATTTCCTGCTGCTCGCACTCAAGAAAACTCTGGGGAGCTGTGGGGTTGGTGGGTAAATGCCCCACAAAAACTCCAGTGAACTCCATGTCCAGTGATAAACCCTTTTTCAGTGGAAAGGGATAGAGCAGGATGTTTATCCTTCCATGGTCTCAGCACACATCCACACATGATTGTGTACTCACGCCACACACCCAGGTGCATAATACAGCTACGTCCCCATGAGTATGAAATACAACTTAACTAGCAAATACTGAAGACATAAGAAGAATGAAGTTTGGATCAGAGAAGAGTAAGCATTGTATATAGGATGGCATCCTGAGTGGGGACCGGAAAAAACGGAAGCGATGGTTGCTGTGGAAGTGCCCAGGGACTATGCCTTTCTTTTACCTACATGAGTACGTTTTACTTTCTACTCTAGGTAAAAACATATGCATGTGTTAGAGAAAATCTTCAAATTCAGCTCATGAGCTCTATGCCGTCTAGTATTTTTGCATCAAGTATTAACAAAAACAAAATTCTAAAACCACAAAGTCCAACTATGAACATGAACTATGGTAATAAAAATTCTGACCTTTAATTTGTTCATTGTGTAATATTTACATTATGAAGAAATGGTATCAATAAACCTTGATAAACAAATGGTAAGCAATGTATTTAAAAATCAAGAGCTTATAGCATGATACTTTCAATGTAATAATTGTCTGAACTATTAAAGAGTGTCTTGGCAGGTGATAGTGGTGCACATGTTTAATCCCAGCACTTGGGAGGCAAAGGTAGAAGGATCTCTGTGAGTTCAAGGCCAGCCTGTTCTAGAGAATGAGTTCCAGGACAGCCAAAGCTACACAGAGAAACCCAGGAAACCTCCCACAGAAATAGTCTTTTTCTCCAGGTTTGGAATTTTCTTCTATGATTTTATTAAAAATATTCTCCGTACTTTTGATATGGTATGTTTCTTCTTTCTCTATGCCCTTAATTCAAGTTAGGTCTTTTCATGGAGTTCACAGTTCTCCCATGTTCTGTTATATATTTCTTTTAGTTTGTCATTGACCTTTACAGAGTAATCCATTTTCTCTACCTTGTCTTCCAGCTCTGATACACACACTATATCGGGACTTGGGTGGCTTCCACTCAGGAGTCGCTTTCAGTGTGTTTTCTGTCCATCTGTGTCTCCTGTCACATTAGAGACTTACCCAGGGAGAGAGCTCACGTATTCCTCAGCCTTGCACTTCCTGAAGCAACCAACACATTACATTGCACATAGCAGGCCTTGGGTTAGCAGTAGTTGGACATTCTTAAACTGCAACTCTATAGAATTTCCCAGCCAGAGGAGCATCTCCATTTTGCAACTAGGAAATATGAAGCACAGAGCGATGGTTTCCAGCATTGGTTCAGGTGCTATTGACCCGAATAACCACTGGAATCCAGTCAACCCTGCTTAATCACTCTCAGGAACAGGAGAACCGGAGAGTAGTCCCTGTTTCTTCACAGCTCAAAGGAGGAGCTGGCCTGTTTGCAAGTGTAGGGAAGCAGTTAAATATTTTAAAATTATTTGTGTGTGTGTGTGTGTGTGTGAGAGAGAGAGAGAGAGAGAGAGAGAGAGAGAGAGAG